GTTCTATCATTATTTTTTTTTTTTTTTTTTTTTTTTTTTTTTGATTAAGCACTTGAAAAGGAAATTCATACGCACGCTAAATCCTGAGGCTGATATTCTTTAGTCTAATGATATGATAAGAGAAATTGTGTGTTCAAAATCGATCTAAGGAAAGAGAATAACCAAATACCTAAGAAAAATGAAATGTCAAACATTTCAGTCTAAGTCAAACCGAAGCTCCAGCCTGTTGTAAGGATGCTCGGGCAATATCCAGTGCTTCCTCGACTGAAGACGCACTTTGAAGTTTAGCTTTATCAACAGAAGGTTGGAATCTTGCAAGTTTAGGAAGGAGTTCAAATTCCTACAATAACCATATCATTTCAACGTTAGTTTACTAATAATAATAAGAAAAACGTTCTGGTAAAGAGAAAAAACAGTTGAATTTATTCTTTAAACTACGTTATTTCTGTCTATTTAGTTCATGAACCGTAAATTTTTTATTTACACCTTAGTAAAGTTCATGTGGTGGTTAATACAGTTACTTGAATATTGACATGACGCATTATTAAATTAACCAATGATGATTTGACTCAAGGTGACACAAAAAAGTAGATTGACTAGATAAAATAAGAGAAAGTTGAGCCAAAAAAGAATTAAGTAGATAAAATGCAATTGAATCTTGTGGCCTATCAACCATTGTTTTATTGACCTATTCCCTTGTACCATACTGTCGCTTAAACATAATTTATAAGTTCAATGAAACATTCCACGTTGAAATCTAAACCTATTGAAATTTTATTCAGGCTTAGGAACCAAACTGACATGACCATCAAAGTTTGAAACTTCATTTATAATTTTTTTTAAAAAGTTGCATGGTTTCATATGTGCGTGAAAAAGAAATTCTCCAAGAATGATTGGACCAAACTAAAAATGATAAAAATAACCCTGATTTACCTCCGGACTTCCGCTTTCAAGAAGAACCCCTTTTAATTTACCTGTGTGCCAGATAGAGAAACCTTGTCATCGACATGATGTTAAAGTTATAGAAGGATAAAAGGTATAGAAAGAATGAGTGCGATATATACCAGAATCAATCCAAAAAGTAGCAATCTTAGGATCAAAGTTCCCAATTTCGACTGTCTCACCAACTGTGAAGCGAGGGATTAGAGTCAGAAGACATAATGATTAGGTAAAGATAAAAGTCCGTACTGGGAGGGGGGGAGCATCATACCATTATCCCCAAAAAATTGCCACCATATTTTCCTAGGGCTCCCTTCGTATTCAAACACCCTTGAGTAGAAGTATGGAAGATAATCGTATCTGTTTAAGAGAGTGTGAAAGATGAGTACGCTATTGAATGACTAGTGAATAAAGAAACTCAGTTTAAGATCAAATGATAGTTTCAAAGAAAATTGTCCAATTTACATTTGAGTATGAGCAGTTAGTAAGGATTTGACACAATGCTGAGCCGATCGACGAGCATGATCCACATGTTCGACCCGAGTTACACGATCATACAGCTGTTTTATTTGAATCACAGTCATTATCTAGTTGAAAAGGAGATTGAAGAATAAAGGCACTCAAGAGGAAGAAGAACACAAAGAAAAAAGAGAGAAAAACAACCTTTAACGGGAATGCTGCCACATCTCCAACTGCAAAAATTCCTGGTATCTTAGTTCTGAACAGGCCATCAACCTAGGTCCAAAACG